CATCATTTCTAAATGTCCTCCCCCCCCTTTTTTTTTCCCCTGTGAGTACAACTATGGCAGGTCTTTTCTTCAGATGATCTTCTTCATGCTGGTCTCCAAGACAGCCATTCTGCTCTGGCTGAAGGCTGGATGAAGCCCATTGCCTACTCTTAACATTCTCAATGATTCTTCATATTCTTTCTTAATTTTCTCCAGGAGACAAAGTTTGAATTGCACAATACATCATTACCTTTTTGAGGGGAAAAAAAAGATACGTACGAAGACCCACTTAATACCAAGAAACAGATGGAAATACCTGTTGCATCCATCTTCCAGAAGAACAGTTTAATGCAGAACAAATATGAAACCTGCTTGTGGAGGAACTCCACGTGGAAAGGCTGACAGGACTGAGTCCAACAGGCCAAGGCAGCAAAACAACAGCACTGTGTGAGATCAGGGGACTCCCAAAGAGTTTGACCCAGATTGAGAATTAGCCATGCAAAACCAAACCAAGTTCCACCTTGGTTCTTCAGGCAGGAAACAGAGCACTGAAGGAGGGTCTCTGTCACCCTGTCTCTTACACATGATCTCTGACAACATAAACTAAGACTCCAATTTCACATGGATGAAGCCTACAGGAAGATGACGCTATGAAATACAGTCAAAGAAATGACTTTTTACCTTCCACAGATTTAATCTTTGCCCCACTAAGCTGAATAGGAATTTCTCTGGACTGCACTGGATGCAGGATCTTGCCCTACACACAAACTCATGCTTCAAGACGGCCTACGTAAGAAGGTACTAAAAGCAAAAGGTTTAGGAAGGTTGCCTTGGTGTATCTGCATAAAGCACAATAATTACCATGTTGAAGTAAGACCGGATTTTGACCCCTCTTGCCAAATCCCAAACGATGACATTTCCATCGTGTCCAGCAGAGAAGAGAACTCTTGGATCAAACGGATGAGGTTCAAGTACAAACACTTCATCTTCATGGCCCTAAAATTAAAGACACAGCAAGATCAACAAGAGGACTGTCTCAAGTACTTACCCAGAAATTCAATATAATAACGCCAGCAACTGCAAAGTTAACCTATGGAAGCATCCAGTAAAGAAAACTGCTTTTGACCACACATTTCTGGGTTTTTTTGGTAGCAATGTATTATACTCTTCTTTTTCCAGCTGTCATTTTAGCTTCCTAAGAAATATGTCAAGTATGTCACCTCCACACTACAGCCCAATACTTTTGCCATTATTTTAAAAGATTAGAATCTACAATATGTGGTATTTTTGGTCTTAATGCTCTCCAGATTTCAATTGGCTTAGGCAGAACAGCAGTTAGAAATTTAACTTATACCCATAAAGAATCAAATACGTCATTAAAAGTCAGAGAACAACGCCTCCAAAATTAATACTATATTTTAAAGCTTTGCACGAAATATTTCCATCCCTAGAGGAGCATCCATTTACTTAGAGTTACCTACTTTCTCAGTTAAAAAACCCCAAAGTATCAGACATTAGTAAAAATATTGTTTGATTTATTCTAGCCAGAAGCCTATTTTTTTATCCTCATGGAATGATTAGGCTGCAGAAGCGTTTCTGGTTAAACAGGGCAAATTTATCCATTAATGGGATTTCAAAACATTTCTCAGGTAAGATAAAGGTAAAAAGAAAGAATTGTCTCCTTCTCGCCTTTTAAGAAAAAGGGAGAAAGAAAAAAAAAAAAAACTCCAAAATCAGTTTCAGATATCTCCAACAGCAATGCTTATTTGCAACTTTAAAGCTTTGTTTTCTAATGAGTTGACAGACATCTCCATTACACTTTAATTATCTGGAAAAATATGTTAAGGCAGTTTTCAGATAGAAAAAAAATGCGTAAAGAAGAATTCTGATGCTGTACACATCAATTTTGCATCAGGATTGATAAATGAAGCTGGAACACCTTACCATGAGAATGTGAATGAGTTGGCCAGTGAAAGAATTCCAAACTTTCAGAGTCATGTTATTTACTGCTGTTATGACAGAGTTGTCGTGGCGGTCCCACGCCACCATGGTCACTTTTAGCTTCGTGATTTTATCTTCAACTCCTTGTAAACTTTGCCTAAAACAGAAGAGCAAAAAGTTTCAAAGCAATCCTAGTTTGTCCAAACATTTTTATGGCCCTAACAAGTGAAAATGCTTCTGTATTTTGCTTTATTAAGTAGAGAAGCACTACTTCAAGAAATTGGAGAAATTAAGAGTGTTTTCCATTATGTAGCACATACAACAGAACTGCAGATGCTTAAACAATGACTATTGGGTCCTCTTAATATCTTAAAGAATATCATGATCTGTTTTTCCAGAAAATGCCCCGATACATGACCTACCCCAATTAAATTTGATACCTACACTATTTGTTGTGACATTTGAAGAGCGAAAATCCAACCAGTCACCCAGTGAAGAGTAATTTGTCCTGGAGAATATTTGTAATAAGCATTTATAAATACAAAAAGAAACAGTCTGATCCCTTTAGACAAGTTAAATCCTCAGGCTGTATTTAGTACTACACCACCCCTTTACATCACCCTACTGCAAGTAATAATGGTGCTTCACCTTCAATCTGTTTTATTTTCACCCTACAAAAACCAAACACCAGCCATCCATAATATAACCTATCAGAATACTCCCAAAATTACATTTTTGTCACTGAGGTTTAAAGATGAACTGCCATTGAATTCTTTAGCACATTAATTTCTGGGCAAAACATCAACCTAATGCAACGACAGCATATTACCACCAAGTAGGCAGACAAAAATATAGAATTTTCCATATAATAAGCACTACAATACGTTACACAATCGTATATATTGTACAACTCAATAACAGAAAATGTAGTTAGAGCCAGATTTCTTTCCAGATTCAATGCAGAACCCAGGAGGCTTTATAAAGCTGAATTCACTCTTTCCTTTCAGTGCAGCAACTTCATTTTCTTTGATAAAATTGTGCTTGTGCAGAAAAGATCAAATTTGGAACTGCACTTATCCCTCTAGTCAAAAGGGCAGAGCGGAATTCAGCTAAAGGTGCTTCACTGAAATGAGCAGTTCAGTTTCTCAAAGAAGTTCCACATTTGTGACTGCAATGAAAAGGAATCTATTCCTATTTTCCCCAGGACGAGTTAAAACTAAGAATTTTTACAGAGTAATTCAGTCTGTTCTCAAAGCACCGGTGTTTTATATACTCTTGTCCAGCAGTTTTGTATTTGTGTTTTGTTGCATCTGCCCAGAACTGGCAAGATACTCTCTGATCTGAACATCTAATGAAATTACAGTTTATTAAGCCTTCTCTTCCATCCCTCTCTTGGTCTTTCGGACATCCTTCCAGAGGATTACTCCCAAAATGAATTTTTTTTAGCTTTTCCTTTTAAATATCATCCTTTAAACCACTCGGTATGATCAATAAGTGGAAAAGGCTTATCCCTTAAACCCATTATAATCCTTTCTAATGTATGGCAGTTGGAAAACATCTCTATGCCAAAATAAAAAGGTTCAAGCCACAATTCCTATGAAGTCATTCTCCATCTTCAAGTCCCTCCTGTGTCTTCTTCTAGTGTACAGAAGTGTCCCATAGCTACAAAGCCTTGTAAATGCTCAGGTTATTTTAACAAATAAGGACTTGATACAGAGCAAGCAATTTATTTGCTCTGTCACATGGTATGAAAGAACCCAACCACTGCTTCTCTGGGCACGCAGATACCATAAGATCTTTAAGTATTACTAAAAAGCAAGCAGGCTCAACAACAGATCTGACCTAGTTGTTTTGCTCAAGAAATAAACATCTATTAAAAAAGCCACATAATTCTGACCTTTAATGGGTTTTGAGTATCTTTTATTCTTTTAATCTACTCAAAATACCAGTGGAGCTATTCTCAGGACAAGCCAGTTTCCACAGCTGAATCTGTAGTCAAGTATTTGTCTTCACTGGACTTGAAGAGTTATACAAGAGTATTGTGCATTTAAGCAATAATAATTTAAGAAGGCCTTCCCTTCCATCCTCTTTTTTCCTTTCTCTCTTTTCTTATTATTTTTTAAATAAGTCAGCAAATTGTATCAATGGCCTTCAGGTATCTCCCTGATACAGGCCATTTCACATCCCTTACCCTGCTGGGCGAGTAGCCATATCTAACAAAATGCTTTTCCATTCCCGTCGCTTAAATTGCCAGATTCGTGCTGTTCCATCACGGCTCCCACTCACAAATCTAACAAAAGGGGGGAAAAAAAACGTTACTCAGAGATCAAAGGCAGATCTGTACAGAAAAGAACACCTGAAAAGTCAAATTTCAGAACTTAGAACTCAAAAAAGGAAGTTATAAGAAACAGTTTCCCTCTCCCGACCCACTTCTGAACTAATTGCACTTTGACCTCTGGTGCCCTCTGCTGAGTTGTGACACTGCAAGTATATTTAAATATAAATGTATTTTACATATGCAGATATATACACATCCGTTTCTTACAAAGAAATGTCAAGAATTCTTATACTTCTTACTTTTGGCAAATTCAAAATAGTTTAATCATTCATGAAAACAAGTATGAAGCTGAAAGCTGAAAGAGGAGTATTATCAAAACAAAACAGTGAGAACCGAATAGTTACAGATCATTCTACTGGATGAACCTCAAAACATAAAGCAATTATCATTTTTTCCTAACTACTTCCAGAAACAGGTATTAACAAGTGTCCACAAGGTCAAAAATCAGTTGTGTGCTTACCTGCTACTACTATTAGAAAACTGAATGCTGTCAACTTTGTCCTGTATAAAAAAAAGAGTAGAAAAGGCAAAAAAAAAAAATCAATTATTATACCAAATTATCCAAATTATTATTTTAATCAAATACATATGTAATTTTTAAAAAGTATTTACAGTATGAAACTCCAACTCTGATATCTTCTCTGGCTGACCTGATCCAAAGAAATAAACCCTAATGATGTGATCTGTACTCCCAGTGGCCAAAAACATTCCACCTGAGAAAAACAAACAGATAAGTCTTAAGAAAAAAAAAAAAAAAGAAAAAAAAAGAGAGCAATCTAATGTTATCACAGTATTTTTAAACGGCTGTAACATTAAATACTTAAATTTATCCCCTTATGTTTATAGCTGTTATCTCATTTCAGCTACGCCTGTAACTGGCCTTTAAGTAAAAACAAGATTTAGGAACTTAAAAGCTTAACTGGCGTTGAATTATCTCACATTTGCTGTCCCATTTTGTCCACAGAGGTATGGGAGAGATCAGGTAACTACAGCAATTTGTTACTGACTAAGCCCTTAGAAGCCTCAATCTTAACAAAAAATGAATGGAACTAGAATTGCGGGATACTGTCTGAAAGTCACTTTCTGTCATTTTGATATTTTATCCAATTATTTATGTTGCATTCCTCAATTGCCAACCCTGGAATCAATGGAATTCAGACCGTGAGAACCTGGTAATCACCACCTTCCTGTCCTAATCCCTCTAAATTCCACCTCAGATAAAGCCAACTCTGAGAAAAAGGTATACATCTGTGTTTTAAAAGACTTGCAGTCACAGGAGACTTACTTTCAACACTCTATATTTAACCATTTTCAAGACTCACCGAGAGTTAATGCATAGATTCTGAATTTCTATTTGAAATATTCTGGCCTTTTTAATAGCTACTTCCACTCAGTTCCATCTTACTAACAAGAAATATACTACTCTAACTGTATTATACTTTATTTTACTCTCCAAATGACTTCCTACATTGAGACAAGGAAAAAAAAAAATAATTAAAAGAAAGTCTTTTACCAGCACTAAAAGAAGAACAGATCATTTGGACTCCGGGCCGAGGGCGCTCTGTAAACTTCGTTGGCCTCGGACTACAAATAAAGAAACAGTTAAATAGTTTCCTAATAGGGCTTGATAAAATAAGTCAGTATTTTAGAAATAAAGCACAGAAGGACAAAATTAAATACGAAGGAACAGATGGCTGCCCATCTATCAACATTTTGGTGTTGACTATGCTTCATGATCTGCTCTTTAGGAAACTAAGACATCCAGATGGACTCAGTAATCCACGTATCAAGGAGAGCTGTATCCCAAGTTAATTCTCACTCCCATCTCATACTGCTCTCCAGAACAACTCTCACAGAATCATGGACTGGTTCAGGTTGGAAGGGACCTTAAAGATCATTGAGTTCCAACCCTCTGCCCTGGGCGGGGACATCTCCCACCAGACCAGGTTGCTCTCCTGAAGTCACTGACCAAGCAGAACAGAAGACACTAAAGCCAGGTGCCCACCATGTCAAGTTTTAAACCACGGGGTGTACTGGAACTCTTGTTATACAACAGAGAAAAAGAGCACAGTGCTCTTTACAGAAAAGCATACAAGGGTAATTTAAATAAATTCAGGGTTTTTCACAGTATTAGAATATACCTGTTTTTCAAAGGACATACATTCCTTGTGGGCTAGTTTCAAACAGTGCCCGAAGGACATCAGGACAATGGCTAGAAGGTTGTAAGGAATTTTACTTTATGGCCTGTGCTTACGTTTTAGGCATTTCAGAACCTCAGACGTTCAAGCAGAACTGAAGCTTTGATGGATGTGGCACTTTAAGAGTGTATAAAACACAAACAGATCTGATTTGGTTCTTCAATCTTACTTCAGTTCTGCTCAGGCACTGCAGCACTCTCAAACCAGTAGGTGGCCATGCAGTGTGCCATCTGCAAGCTTCACTCCAAGGATAAACTCACTGGAGAACAGCAGCATCACACCCACAAATGTCACCGCTGAAGATTTGTTTTAACACAGAAGAATGCATATTCATAACTTAGCCAACATTTTCTCTTTTAAAAGCAAAATTGCCCATGTAATTCACAGACTCACAGAGTGATATGGGGTTGGAAGGGACCTCTGGAGATCATCTCCTCCAACCCCCTGCCACAGCAGGGTCACCCAGAGCAGGTCCCACAGGAACGTGTCCAGGGGGGTTGGAATGTCTCCAGAGAAGGAGACTCCACCACCTCCCTGGGCAGCCTCTGCCAGGGCTCTGCCACCCTCAAAGTCAAGAAGTTCCTCCTCATGTTTAGGTGGAACTTCTTATGTTCCAGTTTGTGCCCGTTCCCTCTTGTCCTGTCCCTGGGCACCACTGAAAAAAGCCTGGCCCCATCCTCCTGACACCCTCCCTTGAAGGATTTATAGGTGTTGATCAGCTCCCCCCTCAGTCTTCTCCAGACTAAAAAGACACACGTCCCTCAGCCTTTCCTCATAGAAGAGATGTTCTAGGCCCCTCATCATCTTTGTAGACCTTTCTCCACAAATCTATTGCCATCTCCAATAAAGTAGGAAGCATTAAAACTTAGTGGTGCCTGGGCATAAAGCAAAGTACTAAACACTAGTAATACCAGTTCAGAGATCTTTGTCCAAATTGTCCACTCCGGCCGTTTCTGGGAATTTTTGCTCCAGGAGTTTTAAGGTAGCTCCCTGCAGGCTCACAACAGGGAAACCTGACAACAAGACAAACTAAACGAGACAAAGGTCTATTCTACAAAACAGCTGAAAACCCTTCTTAACTAACATCAGAAGAATTCTGGGATGATTCAATAGGCAGCTCACAGAGTGTGGAGCAAGTGGAAAGAGAGAAATAGGCTGCTGTTCTCTTCCACTCTGGTTTGTGAACTCTGCCTTTGGAGTTGGGACAGCTGCAAAACAGAGCAGGTACACACTTATGTTCTACTCTGGATAAATTCTCCAACTTACACCTCTCTAATGTTGTTATTTTAGGCATTAGGAGACAAAAGATCCTGGCATTCTTTTACAACAGAGCAGAACGTGGTCTCTGCAAAACGAGCTGGGCAATCAGTATTTTGGGGAAGCAAGGAAAGGGGACAAAAGCCGAATTTCTTGCAGCACGCAGAAACCAAGCTAATTGTTCTTGCTTTATTTTCAATCCAATTATTAAGTGGCTGGAAGGCACTGAGATCCCTTCACACGGTTCATGGGGAGGTCCAGAAAAGCCCTGGTGAACCATTCTCCTCCCGGAGGAGACACATATTAAGCTCATCACGAATCCAGAACCAAGAGGGGCTGCAGTCAAAAAAGAACCCACCCTTGGAACAGCAGCAAAGAAGCCTTTTGGTCTCAATTTGTGCCTCATCAAGGGACACTCTCATCCATATAAACATCTCAAGATCATCATCTTGAAAACGCAGCCAAATAGTGAAGGAATTAGTTATCTAAGTCAAACTCTGCAGCCTAACCTCACCCTGGACATGGAGTGGCTCAAACTTCTTCCCATAACACGCACGTGTGATACAACCTCTCCTAATGAAGTCTTTGCTCACAAAGTAACGACCAAAGTTCAGAATATCTGAATTCTGATGTATCACCAGCCCCTTTAGGATCAAGTGCCTTCTGCTTAAGAAAGGAGATGGGAAGTATCACACCCCACCGATGACAACTGAGTAATCAACCTCTGGTCCAAAACAGTAACACCAAAATCATCAGCACAGGTTTTTCCTAAGGTTTTTTTCCCCCCCTTTTTAATTATGGTGTGTGAAAGATAGAAAAGAAGAAAAGAAGTATAAGAAGCTCCTCTATCCAAGTCTGTGAGACAGTTCTGCCAGTCACAGACTAACACGGGAAACTACTCATGACCCAAACAGGTGGTAGAAGAATAATAAGAACACTCATTACCTTTCTCAGAGAAGATACACGTTCAAGTATTTTGCAGTGCAACAAATTTGAGTAATTCTAACCTTAAACTTGAGGCAGATTATTCTTGAATTTCAGCTGACCCAAGGCTGATTCTCTCTCTTCTCCCTCCTGTGAACTGACACAGGATCTGACTCGTGTTTTCTATCGCCATCCAGAATAGCAACAGGTGACTAAATATGGGGAAAGTCTTGATTGACTGAATTTTTAATTGATTTCCCATCTGGTTTGGGCCACATTCCTTGACTACCTTACCTAAAGAAACTACCAACCCTTCCATTCAACCCAACCTCCCTGAAAGGAGGGTGTAGCCAGGGTGGCCGGTCTCTTTGCTCAAGGAACAGGTGATGGGACAGGAGGAAACGGCCTCAAGTTGAACCAGGGGAGGTTCAGATTGGATATTGGGAAAAATTTTGACACGTAAAGGGTTCTTAAACCTTGGAATGGGCTGCCCAGGGAGGTGGCTGAGGCACCATCCCTGGGGGGATTTAAAAGATGGGTTGACATAGTGCTTAGAGACATCATTTAGTGATGGTTTCTTTTTATCAGAGTTAGGTTGATGGTTGGACTTGATGAAAGGAAAGGTCCCTTCCAACCTGGGCAATTCTATGACTCCTCTAATTGGAAACCAGTGTCTAATCTCTCATCCAATGGCACCAAATCTCCTGTAACATGTGTCCTTTTGCAGTTTATCAGAACAGAGCTCTGTCACCAACCACCTCCTGCCTGGGCCATATGTGTGACCTTGGTACCAAACATGCCTCAATGAGGTTATCCAAAAACTGGGAGCCTCTAATTTCAGAGATACTATGAATACTGCAGCAGAGGGGCTGGTAAAGCTGAACATAAGGATGTTTGCGATCTAAGAATGAAACAAAACAAACATTTGCAGAGATAAGAAAACTAACCAGAGCTGGGGCAGGGGATGAGACATTAGAAGGGTTAAAGGAGGTCAAAGACCATTTTAATGGCAAATACTCCAGTTTTCAAAGTAGTGACTTTTCCAATTTTTCATGATCTGTTGAGATAAATAATCGCTCTGTAATATTTTGATCTTATTCTCTAAGTGGGGAATAAAGAAAAATTTCAAATTTTCCTTTTTCCTGAAGAAGCTGACAGGGAAACATTCCCTTTAGAGGGAGTTCCCAGGAGGGACTAAACCCAATTTTCAGTTAGAGACAGGGAGTTGATCCAGTAACTTCACCACCCAAGCTGGGTTCCACTGAAACAGTTTCCAGTGCAGTTAAGAACCAACCAGATTATTTTCCATTCGAGAGCCCCCCAAACACAGTAGTGTATCCAAATGCTGCCTTTCCCATATTTCATGAAAAAGTTCAGCCAAGTATTGCTGGTGCTGCCAGTCATCCTCAAACTACAATCTACCCCATGATCATCATGAGGCTGCCCAACAGCTCATCATCTTAACTCACTGTCAGATGATTCAAGTAGTGCAGGGGGTGAGGTGTGTCTGTACGTATTTCCCTTCTCTCTCTTTTTTTTTTTTTCTTTTAAGCAGCTGAAATTTCAAGACTTTGCCACCAGTCCCCATTAAAAGCACTGGATGATTTAGTAACACGCTGTCATCACCAACAGCAATGGGATTCTTGAAGGACAAGTTGCAGTAAAGCTCAGGAGGAGCATGAAAGGGATGTGACAGCACCTTCACCCATGGCACTCAGATCTTCTGGTCTTACTTGAAAGCCCCCATTTCTCCTTTCTGGGCTGGGGGCTGTGCTGGAACCGAGATACAGGGCAGCAAGCTCAGACCTTAAATATTTGTGGGAAGAGATCTTTTCTCTGCCAGCTTTCCTCCTTTCTAGAGATAACTGTGGAAAATTACACTGGAGTCTTGGTTTCCCAGTATCATTAAGTTTCATTTACTGAAATGAGCAGGACAAACATAGGTTGAAAAGTTTACAGTTTAGCACATTAAGTAAAACTTCCTGTAACTAAGGAATTCCCCTGAACTACCATTCTTTTCAGCTCAGGAAGAGCTGCATTAAGACTTTACTGGGTTTCCAACTATTTTGATATCGTAAACGACATACAGTTATGTTCCAGTCCCAAAAGACTTATTCAGACTTTACCATAATTTTAACAAGTTTTAGCTTGGATGAAAAAGCATCAATTACATCAAATATGTAACAGCTCTACTAAGTTCAAACCAAGATCTAAAACCAATGCCCTGCCACCGAAGCAGCCAAAAGTGGTATGTAAGAGCAGAAAAAGCACACACTGCCTTTAAATATCTTTGTATAATGCATAATATCATAAGGCAAGGAGTTTCATAACTTAACTGCACATTTTATAAAGAACCATCTCCTTCCCACCTGGAATTGGCCACCTTGATAACCTCAGTACAGTAAGGGCCAACAAGTAATTCCTCACAATATTCATGACTGTTCATGTCATCTTTTTCCAGACTGAAGAAATGCAGCTTAAAGGGTTTCTCTGTACAAAATACTTCCCAAACAGAAAGTAAGGAGGGTGCAAATTCCAGTCTCAAAATTTACTCCATCATTGAGCAACACGAATCACTGACTTGGGTTACCAGAACCAGGTCCTTGCTGCTCTCACAGGACACCTGAACTCATCTGGTTTCCCTTTGCCACTGCCTGATCACATCTGCTGTGACTACTTATAAATTAAAGCATTACTCACAAATCTTTTACTCCTTTAGTATTTACTGAGCACATCTCACTGAAAAGATTTATTCTACACTTAAATATCACCACAGAAAGGAATTAGTTGAGAATCCCCTGTCATAACTGACACCAGCTTTCTCACTCCCTGAAGTTTTACCTCTGGACAAATCCCGTTCAACTCTGATTCACCCAAACATTCAGGATTTCTACACATTCCTCTCCCAGTTCATATGGTCTAACCCACTTAAGTCTCATGGATTCTGCTGTTCTCTAATAATGGGATTTGTTTCAAAATTCAGTTCCATAGACTTGAACTTACTTAGGAAAAGGGGAAAAGAGAGGAAGGAAAAAATTAGGAGAGAGAAAGACGTGGGCTCAAAAGGTTTACAAATCAGGTAGATGAAGGTTTCACCTTGTCAACAAGAGCTCAGACTTAAGAGACCTTAAGAAAAATAACATGGGGGCAACTCCTCTCCTCTGCATGTTAAAAATGAGAATGTGAGCCATGTCCTCCTCTCCTCAGTGAGAAGGAAAGTCTGTCTTTACAGCAGCAGAGGATTAACAGCCTGAGAAGCAGCTTCATCTACAGTACCAAAAAAAAGAGCCAAAACACCCAGAGAACATCAAAATAGTTAAGGTCCATACAACCAGAGCAGTTCCCAGGCAAATGCACCTACAAGCCCTGCACAACCGCAGCACACCACAAGAAAGAGATTCTAACAGCAATTACCAAAACTACAAAAAAATGGAACCTACTTGCCAGGAAAATCTATCCATAAGAACCACCTCCCATCCCCAAAGCCAAATTACTCATAATTACTAAAACATTTTTCAACTTTAAGGTACAAGTGTTTTGCGATAACGGAAAAGGAGCAAAAAGCATTTGAAAGCCATTGAACAAGTTAATTAAAAAAAGCCTAAACAACCTATCTCTATTTGAGGGTCCTGACAACATTTATATCATCTTATACTTTGAAGGCAGAAACTTCAGGCCCAACTTCAGCCACCAACATGCAGCTGCCCACAAATTCTGCCTCCTGCCACACTACAGTAAAGAGCGACCACGAAAAGGTAATACAGATAAAGAAAGAACAAACATCAAAAATATCCCCTCTTAATTCATTCTAGGGTTTTCCAGTCTAAATTGCAATCATTTCATCAATATAATTTTCATTTCATTTGGGATTAAGAGATGAGAAAAGAATCAGAAAGGACCAACTTTGACATCATATTACACCCCCCAAAAAAAAAATAATCCTAAGACTTTTTTAATAAATTACCAAATACAGCAAAACCAGGTATACAGTTATTTCCTTCATTCCACAAAATGTTACATTATCAACTTAGTCCTTAAAAGATAAGCAAGCTGTAGCTACATCAGAAATAGATCATACCCAATAACCAGTCAGTAACAAGTCAAATTTTTCTCAAAACATTTGTACAGCATTCTTAATTGAAAAAAAAAAAAAAAGGATAAAAGATAAAAAGAAAGAAATAGCAACAAATAAAATCACAACTAACTTTATTTTAAGGGTGCCAGCATCCCACAGCCAAAAGCATATTGTTCCATCTGCCCCGGTTGAAGATAAGTATCTCTTTGAGCCACTGCACAGTGGAGAGAACTGGGGGGAAAAGGGGGGAAGAAAAAAAGAAAAAGGTCTCCTGTTAATTTGTTCCAGATGTGCTGAGGAGTTCCTTAAGTCATTGACTTCTCACCAAGAAAAATAATCAAGTATAAGGAAAACAAATGGCAATGAACACCAAAACAACACGCTGCTGCACTCTCTTTGTTCAGAACACCCCTCCTGGGTTACTTGCCAAAGGACTCTGGGTTCTCCCTCCCCACAACCCGAGTTGTGCAACAACAGGCAAGGCCACAAAAAAAAAAATCCCAAAATATTCAGCAGTGACTGCAGCTCTCAACGTTACCTGCACTCAGAACCACCACCTGCAAAGGAACCACACCACCAAATACAACTACCTACATGCATCACGCTATTTTTTTTCAACAAGGGTTCAGGCATTTTGACAATAAATATGTTATTTCACTATAAACGGTGAAAATTCCTTCTCACTTCAGAGCTTAGCTCCCATCTTTATCACACAGACCGTTCTCAGGTGGTTCCTTTTTCAGTCCAACGATGCATTTCAGGCATGGACCTACCTGCAGGGAGGTTATGGAGGCGCTGTGGCCCTGCAGAACGGCCAAGGGCGCGCAGGTCCGAAGGCACCAAACGCGGATCATTTTGTCGCAGCTCCCAGCAGCGATCATGGTGTTCTCGTAGTTCACCGCCATGTCGGATATTTCGGCCGCGTGCCCTCTCAGGGTGGCCAACAGCCTTCCATCGTCCGTCGCCCAGATCTTCACGAGGCAGTCATCTGAGCCCTAGAAGTAAGGCAGAAATCATTTCAACCACCATTAGTTGCTTTGATGTTACAGTAAATTAACATGAAAAACTTAAAAACTAGTGTCCTACATGGATAAACAATCCCCCCTCATGTTTTTAACAGTTCTTCACACCGCATTCACTGAATTTCACTGAATTTCTAGAGTTGGAAGGGACCATAGAGATCATCTAGTCCAACTCCCCTGCTGAAGCAGGATTGCCTAGAGCTAGAGCATGTTACTCAGGAGCATCCAGGCGGGTCTTGAAAATCTCCAAGGAAGGGGACTCCACACCCTCCCTGGGCAGCCTGTTCCAGGGCTCTGTCACCCTCACCGTGAAGAAGTTTCTCCTCATATTTGAGTGGAACCTCTTATGTTCCAACTTGTGCCCGTTGCCCCTCGTCCTCTCAGTGGGAACCACTGAAAAGAGTCTGGCTCCCTCCTCCTTCAACCCTCCCTTGAGATACTTGTAGGCGTTGATAAGGTCTCCCCTCAGCCTTCTCTGCTCCAGACTAAAGAGTCCCAGCTCTCTCAGTCTCTCTTCCAAAACACAACACAAGCTTACATTAATTCACAACAGTACATACAAAGCTTGATGCCTTTATAAGACAGAGCACAAATCCAGTTGGATTAATGCTCTTCAGGAAGACACTTCTTCCAAATCTCCAGCAGAAACAGAAAAGGCTGGTGCAATACATGAAAATGAAAATTTACATTAATTGTGAAATGAATGATGAATCAGTAACGTTTTGTCATTTAGCATTACACCCACTTACATTCACAGAATCCCAGAATGACATGGGGTTGGAAGGGACCTCTGGAGATCATCTCCTCCAACCCCCTGCCAGAGCAGGGTCACCCAGAGCAGGTCCCACAGGAACGTGTCCAGGAGGGTTTGAATGTCTCCAGAGAAGGAGACTCCACCACCTCTCTGGGCAGCCTCTGCCAGGGCTCTGCCACCCTCACAGCAAAGAAGTTCCTCCTCACGTTTAGGTGGAACTTCCTCTGTTCAAGTTTTGTGCCTGTTCCCTCTTGTCCTGTCCCTGGGCACCACTGAAAAAGGACTGGTCCCATCCTCCTGACACCCACCCTTTCAGTATTTATAGGTGTTGATCAGATCCCCCCTCAGTCTTCTCTTCTCCAGACTAAAAAGACCCAAGTCCCTCAGCCTTTCCTCATAAGCAAGATGCTCCAGGCCCCTCAGCATCTTTGTAGACCTCTGCTGGACTCTCTCCAGCAGTTCCCTGTCCTTCTGGAACTGGGGAGCCCAGAACTGGACCCAGTGTTCCAGATGGGGCCTCCCCAGGGCAAAGCAGAGGGGCAGGATGACACACTCTTCCTGATGCACCCCAGGGTGCCATTGGCCTTCTTGGCCACAAGAGCACACTGCTGGTTCATGGGCATCCTGTTGTCCACCAGGACTCCCAGGTCTTTCTCCTCAGAGCTGCTCTCCAACCTGTCCTGGTGGGGGGGGGTTATTCCTCCCCAGGTGCAGCACCCAACACTTGCCCTTGTTGAACTTCATCAGGTTCCTCTCTGCCCTACTATCCAGCCTGTCCAGGTCTCACTGTGTGGCAGCAAAGCCTTCTGGTGTGGCAGCAACCCCTCCCAGTTTTGTATCATCAGCAAACCACTAGTCCCATTCTTCTTGGAGCTACATAGATTTAAAAAAAAAAAATATATATATATATATAAAATGCTCTGTCTACCAAACTACACATATTACATAAACACGCTTCTGCAATTCTCACATCGTACAGATCAATATTATGAATAAGCTACTGACTTTACAGTAAGCTTACAGCCTCTAGTCATTTTACGGGATGAACAGATTGTTCAAAGCACAGCAAAATGAAAAAAAAAAAAAAAAGAAAAAGAAAAAGGAAATCAATAAAAAAAAAAAGAAAAAGAAAAAGAAAAAGGAAATCAATAACCCAAACCCTGCATTGTGAGACTCCTGAAATGCTGCTTCCGGAACGTAACTGATGGAGAGCAACCTGCACACCAGACAACTTAAAAGATGTAAAATGATCAGCCAGAAAAACTAGTTGTGGGACCTAATGCCATCTAGAAGGGCCTCAGAGGTCTCTTTAGGAACAACAAACCACGGAAAGAAGATCGGCATAAAACCAGCCCACTCCCTACCAGGTGGCAATAATATAGCTGTAGAAGGATGTGTTATATCTCTCCACTGCACAGAAAACATAAACAACTGTTATCAACTTTCAACAAGAAAAAAGGAAAAGAAAAAAAGAAGAAAATAAAAAAGACTTGGGTAAGATTGTAAATTCTGTAGCATCGTGCCAAGATAACAATATTAGAGTTCAAAGAAATTGACGGGATTCTGCCTGAACTGAATGGGACAATTCACAACTCTTAAAATGCTGTTGCAGGGGTGTTAGCAAGGGCATTGGCTCACACCACCACTCCCGTTTCCAACCTTATGTCTGCAACTGCTACGAATTACGTGCCTATTGAAGAGCATTTGTCAGAAGGGAATCCTAGAAGGAGTTCAGCACCGGGGAAGAACCGATGACGGCACTGCCAAGGTATGGATGGGAGCAGTTCATTTTCCGACCCTTACACAGACTTGTGGGCTGAAGTGAAACTGCCAAAAAACCTACAAATTAATCTGGGGTTGGAAACCTCACACAGAGACTATTCCACACCACTGTCTGTTATTCCCTAGAAAGAGGAATCTCGGAGCAGACAGGAAGATAAAGGCTGGGAAAAGGAGTTGGCCATCATCCTTCTTCGCAGTCAGAAAGTGAAGTAGTGCAGGAACCAGAAGCCAACTCTTCTTTCTCTTACTCTGCCTCGTTCTCCAAGTCAGGCTTTTCAAGAGATCCAGATTACACAGCCTCAGAAATAATGAGGTTTTCTTCACTGATAAGTCTTTTAGCTGTGTCTTTACATGTGAACATGCCTTAATTCACGTTAATTAAAAAAAAACCACTAAATTACCAAGACAACAGTTTGTGTATTAAGAATATTTTAGTAGATTCAGAAAAAAGGGAAGAGGTTGATCTTCAGAAATCTCTTGTGAAATTCATAGAACAATATAAATGGAAACAGGCATTGCATGAGCTACTGGTTAGCAGGCAAACTGCATCATGTCCTGTTCTCGCTGCCTTTAGGCAAACTAAGAGCATCATCTTCCTAGCAAAGATAACATCTCCCAGAAGAGTATGACTCAAAAATGTGCTGAGATCACTTTCTTTTTCTTTTAATTTGACGCAGGACATAAATAGAACTTGAATTTAGAGGCTTTCAATCCCCTCAGAGGTCAGGAGGAAAAGGAAACAGTTATGATGCATCTTCTAAAACCAATTATAAATCTAAAACAAGCTCTTATCTTGCTAGTGTCACACGGAACGCTGGAGGTTGTAGAGTAAAAACACAGAGCAAGAACGACTCCCTGTTGATGCAGGGAAATTTACAGGCTGGCAACAGACATGTCTGGAACAAAATCTGGCTTACTTTTGGTTATAAAACCCTATTTCTACTTACTATGCTACAGACTTTAGAAATTGCAGCGGTCCAGACTGAACAGAATTGGCAGCGTTTCACTATAGAGACACAATTACAAGAAGACAGTTCGTGACCGTTTATCCACTGCCTACATCACGTCAGCTCCAGCAACATGGGCTCTGCTGCCATCTGGAACACCAACCATGGGTTTCCACTTGCAAAAAAACACTTGAACATCTACACAAAACCCACCAGATTTACCCGAAAACGGTGACGTAAGGAGGTCTGTCCCAGGCCCTTCAAAATGAAAATTCACCAGCCACTATTAATTTCTATGGACACTTTAACATTACATTGAAGTAATCATGATCTAAACTGGGACCTCTTTCAAGCAGTTGTAGGAGGACACCAGCGTATCTGTCAGCAGAGGACCTGCCAGCAAAGCACTGGGGTGGTAGAAGCGATATTACTCCCCCGTCTTCACCCCATTTTATTTCAGGTTCTTCTACTTTAGTGGGCTTCAAGAGGAAGGGGCCAGTCTTTTTCAGTGGTGCCCAGGGACAGGACAAGAGGGAACGGGCACAAACTGGAAGACAAGAAGTTCCATCTAAACATGAGGAGGAACTTCTTTCCTGTGAGGGTGGCAGAGCCCTGGCAGAGGCTGCCCAGAGAGGTGGTGGAGTCTCCTTCTCTGGAGACATTCCAACCCCCCTGGACACGTTCCTGTGGGACCTGCTCTGGGTGACCCTGCTCTGTCAGGGGGCTGGAGGAGATGATCTCCAGAGGTCCCTTCCAACCCCAACATAAACACACATCCCTCTACACAACAAAGCAAGATGCACGTGGGCAAAAGGACAAATTATATTTACAACGGCATTGAAAGAATTTTAGAAGTCAGGACTGTAATACATAAAGTAGGAGAACTGCCACAAGGTTAGAAAGTGCACAATCCAGCTCCTGGATCCACAACAGTATCGACTACATCCAGTGTTCCTGGGAAGATGATAAACACAGCCAAGTGTACCAGGCTGGCACGAGGTGTGTATTCAAGAGAACTTTGGCTCTGCTGAAATGGACCACTTACTAAGAAATCCAGATTACACTGACATCTACACGTTTTTATAATTCCCATTCCTTGAGAAACTTGCCATTTCAGTAATTATTTCAGACAATTATTTTTTTAAAACAACAACAAAAAAGAAATCATTAAAAATACTAAGAACACCCGTACAGAAAACCCAAACAACCCAGTTCCTGGGATCTCATAAAGACAATTCCTTGTCAACCAACATTTATTACAACACACCATGTGCACTTTCAGCTTTCTCATTACCATCAGCATGTTGTACCAAACCTGAGTGAGTACCAAACCAGGTTATTAAACTTAATATTCATTGTCTAAATTTAACAGAAGTTACAGATAAGAGTCAAAATAATCGTTACTTCCATATTGACTGTCTTCTCTGACTTTCTAATCAAATTCTGTAGTGGTGGTCGGTTCTTTTGCTTACAGAATCACAGAATGGTTCGGGTTGGAAGGGACCTTAAAGACCATCCAGTTCCCACCCCCTGCCCTGGGCAGGGACACCTCCCACCAGACCAGGTTGCTCCAAGCCCCATCCAGCCTGGCCTTGAACCCCTCCAGGGATGGGGCAGCCACAGCTTCTCTGGGCAACCTGGGCCAGGCTCTCACCACCCTCACAGCAAAGAAGTTCTTCCTGAGATCTCATCTCAATCTCCTTTCAGTTTAAAACTGGTGCTCCTCGTCCTATTGCTGAACTCCAACATAAACTTATGTTTTTGCCAAAGAACACAAGTCCAGAGGAAAGAACCTACACAGGGCAATTCCTTCCCACTAAAAATAACCCGAGTTTTCAGACTGAATTACACCAATCAGCAATTACCATCACATCTAGCTTTAAGACATGTATGCCAAAACTAATTTAACATGCAAAATAGCATGGTTATCAAAAAGCATATCGGAGAGTAACAGCAATAAAGCATTTAGCTGCCTTTGATACACATTATCAGTACATTTAGGTTCTGGAAACAATTAGGTGATATGCTGTTTGTACTTTAAAAAAGAACTCACAAAATAAAGATTTGGTACTTACAGTGAATATTCGCCTGCCAGTCCGGTCAAAAGTTACACAGTAGACAGAGGATAAGTGTCCTAAAATCCGTTTGTGCATCTTCATGTGTTGATAGACTGCAGTGGGAACAAGGCGTTCCAGTCTGTATTTTCCATTTAGTTTTCTTGAAAACAGGGTATCCACTACCAAATGCGGAAAGACAAAAGAAGAGACAGCATTTATATAGGGGTCACAAACTAAAATACTTCTTCAGGATGGAAAGTTTATTTCAACACCGGGCCACCTGCCATATGAACAGATAACTAGTAATTCATTTTGCCACAGTTCGGGAAAAATATGTATAAAAGTAGCCTCTGATAAAAACATACAAAGAAGTATCGAGGCAGAGCACAAAAATGCAATACAACTTTCAAATTTAAGTACCAAAATGTATGTTTCTGATTTTATACCAAGTATGAGAAATTCAGGAGGACTGAAGCAGCTCCCGTGGAGGAGTGAACTACCTCAAATTTAATAAGCATAAGAACTTCCATACAGCTGTTACCTGAAGAACAGCAAACATTCACACCTTCTTCAAGGCAGCTTGAGGTTTCTTGAGGTCTACGCCATCAAACATTCATCCACCACTTGCAAGATAAATCAATTTCTTTTTTAAAATATCGCTACTCACAACAGAACAAAAACAACAACCAACAAAGAAAACCCTAAGAAAATATTTACATATCGATTTACCAAAACCTTACAGAAAATTCTGATTTTGACTAACAGAGCCTTACTCAAAGACTTTGGGAGTTTTTTCAAGTTTAAAAGCTAAGAAGGTCCGGGAGCAGGAAATCTTCAAGATGGAAATCTTCAATCAAGAGCTTCAGTAAATAAAAATAAATCTCAGCGATACTAATTTTAAACTGCTACTCATGCAGCAATAAAGCAACAGACTATATTGCTTTTATGAATGGATTCATAGATATTAGTCAACAGTTCCCCTTATCATCATCAGACCAATGAATGGCAATGGTGTTAGATTCTATATTCCACCAAATTGTGGTAAAGCAGGTAATATATTCAGATCTTCAGCTTCTGAATACATGAAAAGTAAAGCCATAAACACCCAACAACATCCACAGCACGACACACACCTGAAAAACGAGATCTATCAGTGCCAAGAAAGACAGCAGATACTTTCACTACAACTCTGGTTTGTCATTCTTTCTCTGTGACCAAGGCCAGGATGGATTGAGAGCAGCCCTGAGGAGAAGGGCTTGGGGGTGCTGGTGGATGAGAAGCTCAACATGAGCTGGCAATGTGCACTGGCAGCCCAGAAAGCCCCCCACATCCTGGGCTGCATCCCCAGCAGCGTGGCCAGCAGGGCCAGGGGGGATTCTGCCCCTCTGCTCCAGGCAGTCCCCACCTGAGCCATGTGTCCAGCTCTGGAGTCCTCAGCACAGGAAGGACATGGACCTGTTGGAAAGGCTGGAGCCCCTCTGCTGTGAGGACAGGCTGAGAGAACTTGGGGTGTTCAACCTGGAGAAAAGAAGGCTCCAGGGAGGCTCCTATAGCCCCTTGCAGTCCCTAAAGTGGCTCCAGGAGAGATGGGGAGGGACTCTGGATCAGGGAGGGGAGCCACAGGACGAGGGAGAACAGTTTTAAACTGAAAGAGGAGAGATTTAGATTACAGATATTAGGAAGAACTTCTTTGGTGTGAGGGTGGTGAGAGCCTGGCCCAGGTTGCCCAGAGAAGCTGTGGCTGCCCCATCCCTGGAGGGGTTCAAGGCCAGGCTGGATGGGGCTTGGAGCAACCTGGTCTGGTGGGAGGTGTCCCTGCCCAGGGCAGAGGGTGGGAACTGGATGATCTTTAAGGTCCCTTCCAACCCAAACCACTCTATGATTCTATGTCTGTAGAAGCAAAGGGAACAACCCAAACCATTCTGTGATTCTATGTCTGTAGAAGCGAAGGGGGCAGGACCAGGGCAGGGATGTGGGCATGGAATCACATTCACTCTACAGCACCAACCATGGAACAGCTACAAACCTCTGGCATTGCTTGGGTTTGGCCCAGACCAACCAGACACTGGTTCATGAGTCAGCACAGGTCAAACTACATTAAATACGCAAAGTGGATTGTAGCTACTCTATAAGGAGCAAAAGCACTTAGTGGTGTGGACAACTGCCAAGCCCACTGGCCTCAGGCCACAAGAACATCTCTGAAACATTTCAGTTGACTGCCTACGTAGCCCAAGGAGTCAGGGAAAGCTTCCCAGGTCAAGATCCTTTGTGAAGGAGCAGGATCAAGGATCATTACTTGTGGAGTGAGGAGCTTCTAGTCAATGTGCCACTACTGTCTTGAGACTCTACTATTTCCTCTTTCCTCTTCACCCTCCCTTCACACAAGACAAAGATGCATTCGCTTGATGACAAAGCTGTTCCTTGCCAACAGTCTGCTTTAGAACAGCAAGAAACCAAGATTAGTTCAGTCACAAGATACATCTAGTTTTGGTTTCTGACAAATCATCCTACAGTTTAAAAAAAAACACAAGAGTCACATGCCCCAAAAAACCCCCAAACAACAAAAAAAACCCAACACCCAAACACACATACACACATACAGAAAAAAGGAAGGTCTTTGTCACAACACAATAGTATCAACCTACTCAGAAGTTACGTTTTGTTTGCTCCTAATGTAAGACAGAGATGGTTGTTGGAAATCAGCTTCTAGTGATGCCTTCAAATGAAGCCATAGCTCACAAAAAAGGAAAAAAGTTTAACTACAAGTTTAATTTGCAGAGATGGCCTGTCAATAAATCGAAACTAACCAGGATAAAGCAACCCATGACTTCATTCAGCATCTGATTTGTAATATACATCGGAGTTCATGAAAAACCATTTCAACTACTTGAGATATATTTCAAGTTTGGGTGTGGTTTGATTGGTTTGTTGTTTTTTTTTAAATCACTGAGGATTAAGTTTAACAGAACCCAAGCCAGCATTTCTGATCATACTTTCCTAACAGGCAACTTGCTACTAGTTCACACATCCCTAAAGTCAAGAGGTGAAAGAGCCCTTGCTCAGTAAAAATCAACCTCCTGGAGGAAAGAAGAGGAAATGCTGTGATATTGGACACAAGAAAGTGGGATCTCTCTCACTCTTTGGCTCTGGTCAAAACTTAAAACATACAAAAATCCCGAAATTGGTTACAAATAAAATTGAGTGAATTAAAAAGTGATTTGACATGGAAAAAAAACAGTATTATGAAACTACATTCTATGGGAAGAAAACTTTTTTCCAAGATCCTGCAATTGAGGAGGGGAAGAATCAGTCTCCCACAGGCTTGAACACTGTGCATAAACATACAATTTTTAAAAGACTTCTCAAACTGGTTATTTTTGTGTTTTAAACAAAATTCTCACATCCACTGTTATTCTTCAATACAGCCTTTCATTTAACTACATTTATATTTACTCTCAGTGAATTTGCCAAGCGACCCAGCTTAATTTCTCCAACTGTCCCATTCCCACTTTTTATTCCAAACACCAAGGACTCCGACTCGTCACCCACACACTTTGCCAGCAAAACAGCATTTTTTCCTTCCAAGTACAGGTAAAAAATTAAAAATAGCTGTGTCTCAAAAATAAATTCCTCCAGTCAAATACTAAAATTGATTTTTCTGGTGCAAGCCAGAGTGAGAAAGGCTACCAACTCTTAATAATAATAATGCCTTTTTACTAACTATATGCCTTTGATTTTATAAGAAAGAAGGGTTGGAAGGAAGAAAGAAGAAAGTAACAGAACAGAGTGCCTGCTCCTTGCTCAAAGGGCCCTGTGAAGTGGATGCTGCACAGAAAGAACTCCCATCCAATGCCAGGCCAATTAAGGAAATGAAAATTAACTTAGCTTTACATGCCTGTCTAGTACTCTCACATTAGAACCTGCTTTAAAAATAAGTAAGTAACATTCAAAACAAGCAAACAAACAAAAAGCAGCTGTTATTAAGAGGTTGTTGTGCAACACAAGAGGACAATCCACCACTTACTTCCAAACAACATTTTGGTTTCAAAATCAGGATCCCTCATATTTACTACCGAAGCAGAACCGAAGGCCTGAGAAAGCCACGTATGCTGTTCATGTTTTGAACACATAAAAACCACTTTGCCACAAATTTTATCATTTAAGTTGCTCTCAACTGCTTACCAACTGATTCCAAATAAAATGCATTGGATTCTAGTTTTTAGGTGGCTGCAGCTCATCTTCGTACAACATGACCAGCCTCAAAGACTGAAATGGTCTGCTGTCCCAGAACCACAGGATGGTAGAGATGGGAAGGAACCTCCAGAGATTAGAATCACAGAATGGTTTGGGTTGGAAGGGACCTTAAAGATCATCCTGTCCCACCCCCTGCCCTGGGCAGGGACACCTCCCACCAGACCAGGTTGCTCCAAGCCCCATCCAGCCTGGCCTTGAACCCCTCCAGGGATGGGGCAGCCACAGCTTCTCTGGGCAACCTGGGCCAGGCTCTCACCACCCTCACACCAAACAAGTTCTTCCCCAGATCTCATCCAAACGCTCTAACCTTAAGCTCTGAAGCTAAGAGCTTAAATTCCTTTTTTATAAAGGCCACTCAGGAACTGAAGCTGTGAATGGAGATTTAGGCTCTTAAAACAACTTAGTAAAATGGAATTTTTTTTTTTAATTTTTTTTTTTAAATCTCACTTCTGCTGTTACTGCCAACAACCTTAATCTGAAAACCACACATCTCAAAGAGTCAAGCTCACCTTGTTTTTTTTGGTTTGCCTTAGAACAATGTCAAATCAAACACAGATGTCAAGCCGACGGAGGTAAAGGGGTGGGAGCTGTCAGATTAGAGCAGGTTTCCAGCAGGTTGTCTCACCCTCCAAAGGCACGCAACAGGCACCAACTTGAACGCCTTCGAAGTTTTAGAATGTCTCTAACTCACTCCCCACCCAAAATAGAACAAGCAGCTCAAGAGAAAAACATCAATCTGTAAAAGGGAGATAAATCTGGGGATCTGAAAGATATGGCAGCATTAGCTATGCCGATTTTTATTTCCCCTTGGCTTTCTTATTTTAGTTTTATCAGTGACCAATTCCATCATCTTATTTACACGGTCTTATCCTGGAATGTGAAATATGCCTTTAAAGATGGGGGACAGTAATCTGCCTTAGCCACTCGTCAGTGGTAAACCCAATTTAATTTTGTACCAAGTATAACTTACATTTAAAAAAAGCACACACAGAAATCATTATGGCTTATCTTGTATTCCCTTCCTTTCCTGAGTTGTATTTAACCACTGAGAGCTCTGTTCAGAACAGAACGCAAGACAGCGCTTGTCTCTGGGCATTTCAGGAAGGTGAAAATATGCTGACACCGGAGCATTTCTTAAAATATAAAATTTAAATACAAAAATTCTATACACCATCTAAAAATTTACATATAATATCTATTTGTTCAATGAAAGTAACTGTCAACCTGTACTAATTCAGAGAAGTAGGTGGCAAGATATTTGCAAAAGCAGAATCCCACTTGCTTTCACTATGTATTTATTCAGTTTCTATTTTACTCATAGTGTAAGTACTGTAAGACTTCTATAGCCCATTTCTTCTTGCATAACAAGTCATTTACTTTAGTATAATTCACTTTAAACTTGAATAAACAGGTGTAACCAGATGTTACTTTTACACAGTCCTTTAGCACAAGGTGGGGTTTTTTTTTCTAGTTTTTTACTATAATTAACAGAATAATATAATTACACAAAGTACTCTTAGGCTGGTGTTTAGAACTGCTGGCCAAGCAGTTCCTGAAAATTACAGAAAAAGAGTTCTTTTTCTGCTTCAGGATCCAAGAAGATGGGAACTTTAACAAGACAAATTAGCATACAACATGGCCCTTTTTTTCTTAATTAAGCACTTCAGCAACTTTTTATAAGATACGTTGCACAAGTGATAGCAACTGGATAAAGATTATTCCATATTCAAGTTTTGTTTATTATGTTATACAGATACTCTATAGTTTTCTGGGGAAATACATATTTATACAGATGTATTTTAACCACATATAAATCAGCTACACACAAGGCAGCTAGCACAATGTACACAAAAATTTAAAGAACATGCCATCAGCATCACAACTGCATTGGTTCATCAGGCTAAGAAACAAATTATTATTTCTGCATATTCAGTGAAATATAAATTAATTTGTCCTGCACAAGGTAAAAAAGATTTCAGCGTCTTTTCTGTTCCTCAACTATTAGAGGGTTCTCCACCTGAAACTCATTCAGCCTGAAGAATAGGTTCCAATTCTTTTTTTTGTTGGGCAAATACATAAAATACCGCCTTCCCAGGGGAAAAATTAGAAGTTATTTAAGGAAATAGCTCAATTTATAAAAGAAGTGTCATTCCAGTTCATGATTTCATTGAGAGTATCAGACTAAAATAAGATAAATCAAAAACAAATGCTTTCACACACAGCTCTGAACCAGACATCCAAAAAATCCAAATACATTTCCCAGTTAAAAAACATTCCATTACCAGCACTTATCTCAATGTTTGGAAAAGGAAATTATTGGTCATGAAAAAGAGGGAAATGTTGAAATAACTGTAATTTTGCAAATATCCAGTGCTCTGCAAAAGGTTCAATAAAAATAACATTTATTTAGAAAGCCTTACTTGTTCTTCCCTAAAACGAGTCTGAAAGTTATTTTTCTTAACATTTAATTCCACTACCACGGCAACTCTACAGCTTTCTTTCAACTCCAGCTACCACAGATCTCATACCCTGATCTTTCTCCCTTTAAAAACTATATATACCACAGAGGAAGCAACAGTGCAATGCAGAACAATCCTCTTCCACTCAGATTTCTCCAACATGTTCCAAAATGTATCTCCAAGTAAAGGAAAAGGTTAAGGCCCTTTTTCATGACCAATAATTTCCTTTTCCAACCACTGAAGAAATCTCAGCTATTAGAAAATTTGGTTGCATTTCAGCCACCTCGCAGAAAGAGCTGCTCATCTACCCCAAGATTTTCCAAGTTTACCACCTTCAAGCTAACGCACGGCCACTCAAGAGCATAAATCTATCCAGCAACAAGCATTTTCTCCCCCACATCTAGAGCACAACACAGAACAACTCTCTTCACAAAGACCAAAATAGCAGCTCAAAACAAAACCACAGTGAACGGATGCAGGTGCTCCAGGCTGAAGTGAACTACCTCTGGCCAATACACGTACTAGCTGAGAAGGCTCTGAAAACTTGGCTCTAAACACCCAGCAAAACAACGTTCTCCTCCTGTATTCCAAGTGACTACAGAAACACAGTGGAACGCATGAAAAATTACGCTTTAAAATGGATGAGGTACTAGGACACCAAACACTTTGCCACCCAACCAAGTCAAAACTGGCTGGGCTCAACCAAAGAGCTTCTTGGCTGTAGTGTGTTCCTGCTTCAGCTGTTCCAACTACATTTCTCTGGGTGAAGTGTAACAGTATGCATTTTGAGATTTGATTTTTCGTTTCTCCAACATTAGAAATAACATAAATATCCCAAATTAAGCTCTCTCAATTACTTACATATATGCACATACCTCTCCCAATCCATGGAATCACAGAATGGCTGGAGTTGGAAGGGACCTTAAAGATCATCCAGTTCCAAACTCCTTGCCCTGGGCAGGGACACCTCCCACCAGACCAGGTTGCTCCAAGCCCCATCCAGCCTGGCCTTGAACCCCTCCAGGGATGGGGCAGCCACAGCTTCTCTGGGCAACCTGGGCCAGGCTCTCACCACCCTCACAGGAAAGAAGTTCTTCCTGAGATCCCATCTCAATCTCCCCTCTTTCAGTTTAAAACTGTTCCTCCTCATCCTATGGCTCCCCTCCCTGATCCAGAGTCCCTCCCCATCTCTCCTGGAGCCCCTTGAGGGACTGGACAGCTTTGAAGTATTTCATACTTCAAAGACAAAATGAGCTTCAGAACAGAATTGGGATATGAATTTACCATAGCCATTTTTCCTCCACACACATACAAACCAGTAAACACACCACCACAATGTCTTAATAAAAATATACTCAAGGTGAGGTATACGCCACAAAGGACAAATCCAAACAGAACTTCTACTTAGCTCTCATCACCACAATAATTAATCACTCTGGGAATTAGGTATTACAGCTCCAATGCCAGAATAAAACCGACTTACCTATACTGGGTGGACTGCCATAATTCACAGGGGACTCCGGAGGCCTCCCACAATGTAGCGCAGCGAGAGCAGATCCCTTCCACACCACGTGTTTGCAACCTGGTTTAAAAGAATTACACAAAAACAAACAAACAAACAAACAAAAAAAATGTAGGCAAGCATTTTCTCGTGCGAGAACACGGGAAAAGCATGAAACATCAAGAACTCTAAAAATTCTTGTAAAATGTTCATACTTTTGTTTGTACGAAGCAAGGACTGTCTGCCAGCTCCTAATAACGTCTGCACCCCAGGGACACTTTGGGGAATTTCTTGCTCTAGAAGCGGTCCAAGCCGATGGCATATTTGAAGCAAGTGATCAGGTGCCAAGTGTCTGTAATATTTCACCTATTACAGGAAAGAGCAAACAAAACATTCCGTAAAGAACATAATATTTTTGAAGAATTATCGGTTTAATCCCCCCCCCCCCCCGCAAGATTGTTACACAAATTCATAACAAAATTATAGCATATTAAGAAGAAAAACAAATAATGACCTTTAAGTACAATAATTCCTTCCAGCTGGTCCTAATTAATTCTTCTATTCAGCACACGCTACTTTGTACAGAGAACTGTTGGTATTTACTACTTTCTGACTTTAAGGCACAGTTGGTCATAGACTAATAAGGTCCTTTATAATCACAGTAAAAAAACGTAAAAAATATATTCAATATTATATTTAAATAGCAGTCTGGTCAATTTAAGCTACTGTAAGATAAAGACAAGGACTGTAAGGGCAGCAGCATTTACAGAATTCTTGGATACCAAATAAATAACACAACACAGAAACATTCCACCTCAGCTCATCTAAGTTATAAGAGCTTGTCGAAGCTCCACAACTGGATTTTTATTTTTATTACATCTAAAGCTTTTAAACAAAAACGTTGGCTTGAGTAATTCACCCTTAAAATTGCTATATGAGGTTCTCTATTAGGCTACAACCACCCAGTACCAAAACAAGCTCCTATTAGCAGCAACAGCGTCGTTATGTTGCCCCAGTATTAATGAGCGCCCGGACAAAACCAGCTCATTCTTTTGAACTGCTGTAATTCTAGATCAGAAGACCATTATATATAACAAGGATAAAAAAAAAAAAAAGAAAGAAAAGCTTTGAAATGTATGTGGCAACAGCAAAATCCCATCAACGTAAAGCTTTTGGTTTAAGAAATGGCATTTTTAAAATGCATAAGCTATTGGCAGCTTGGAGCGTAACAAAGAAAATTTAAAATAATAAAATTAAGAGGGAGGACAGAAACCCAGTTTTCTTCAGCTGTTGTACAGGGTTTGGCGCGCAGTAGTTTCATCCTCCATACAGCCTAAAATACTTCTTCAGTGTTTTACTTTGCAGGAGGAGGAAAAAAAAAAAAAAAAAAAGGTACTGCAGCAAAATCTTGTGATGTTTCGTTATTCTGCAACTGGAGAGGGCCGTGCCTGACATTTTAGGGAGAAGGATGCTTCTGTCTTTTACACCCAATTAACAGGAATATACCTCCTTCTTCATCAAGCAGGCTCCTACCCTGCTGACACACTGTGATTGCTCGGTGTATTTATTCCAGCAGTTCGTTAACATAAAGAGCACTGATGTCTGAAACCAAGGCTCTGGAAAAGCCCTGCTTCCACCGGGAATTCCCATCACAATAAGGCAACCTTGGAGGGAAGGAAGGAATTTTTCCTCTTTTCTCCTCTGCTCCTGTCAGGGTTTAAGCCTCCCTTGCTCATTCCCCCCGCAGCAGGACGAGGCAGAAAATCAGAAGAGAAAGAGCCGAAACTTGTGGGCTGAAATAACAACAGTTTAGCAGGTAAAGCAAAAAATGCACAGCAAAGCAAAGCAAAATAAGGAATTAATCCTTATGAAAATTTCCTGGTTTTCCAGGAAAGCGGGGCTTTCCTTCTGTGAATTCTGTTACATTTGTAGAAGGCCTTGCAAGCTGCCTGAATTTCACTGCCTGAAAGTTAAATGATTTGCAAAATTCACACAAGTTTAAAATAGGCTTTTCTGTAAAAAAATATTAGAAATTACACTTTATTTTTTCATAGAGGTACATTGAAGAGACCTATTCATTTAAAATTACTGAGTTTAATGTCATCAGGCAATCTGTTAGAAGAGTGGCAAAAAATAATCAACCAAATTCAGCGCTACTCAGATACATTTTTTAATCAGCAATATGCAATTAAAACTTGCTTTTTCCTACCTAAAGGAGGAATCCCAGCCAAAACACATGCTCGAGAGCCCTAAAATACCTGGAACAGCCCTAAGCAGTGACAAAGCTATGTACAGGTTTTTATTTTATTGCAATATGCAAGGCAGTTGCCGTTTTATCCTGCTCAAGACCCTTCGGTTTTACCCATTTTGTGCACAAATGCACAAAAATGTGAAGTAAATGAAGCAAATGGGATTTGGCACATTCCGAAACTGCAGCTCGCTGACATCTTGAGTCATACTCCTCATGATTTATCATAAGCCATGTGTTCACTTGTTTTATTTTAGCAGACACTAGGTAGGCTCGATTCCTCGCGCAGTTTTTAAGGGAAATCTTTGGAAAGGGGGGGTCTGTTTGTATTATTCTTGATCATATCTATTAAAGATCTTCTCTTAACACAGCCCTTACACCCACGCTGTAGTCTTTCCTCATTTGAGTCCATTTGTGTGAAGACAACTAATTATGTCGAGTTACACAGTAGTTTTGTGATGCTTCTGCCCAGCATTTGTATGAACAATCATTGTTCGCTGCTGAACAGCATTTGCTACTGGCTCGTTAACAAACTGATTCAAAATAAAAATACTTGTCAGTCCCAGAAAGTTTCTAAAACTATTTTGTGAAACATACACAGTCACCACTCGACTCTCAATTTCCTATACACGACTAAAGCGCACACAAGAAACTTTTAAAAATACAAAAAAAAGCAAGCTTCACTTCACTGTAAAATCTGCTAAAGAAAAAACCTGCTTATTTTATTGCAGGTTTTATGTGGACTTATTTATTTACTTTTTTCTCCTATAAATAAGGAAATGGTGGAACTTAAATAATCTATTAAAATCGGAACCACAGTGTGGTAGCAACAACTCCAGAACAGACAAGGTAAGGAAGTTTATTAAACAACAAAGAGTGTCTTGAAAGCTAAAATTATTCTGATTGTTCTAAGGTGCAGCCGACCAGGAAATAATTCTTGCACCAATAAACTGTAAAAAGAAACTAGAACAGAACATAACACCTAGAACATCTACCACCCTGTGTCCTCCTCTTAAAACAAATAAAAAAAACACAACAAACCTGCCAAGAGTACTTTGAGGTCAGATTTAAGTGACAAAAAAAATAAATAAGATTATTTTCTAAAAGGACACTTTACAAACTTTGTCAGAAACAGAAAAGCTCACGACAACTCAATAGAACGACAGAGATTTGTCTTGATATCAATCTCTGATTCCGTGAGGTGAAAGTAAAAGTGAAAGGATATAAAAAAATAACAGATGTACAAGTATTTAAAATTCATACAGCCCGAAATGAGAAGTGAAAATTGGCCTCTATAAACAGGAACTCTAAAATTTTATGCCAAAACTGGGATGTCAAACAGTATATAAACAGCACAGATCTTTTTTTCCTCTGCCAGTCCCACCTAGCTGAAATTCTAGCTGCTTTCCTTCCTCCTCCTGTTAAGACTTTCTGCAACATCTAATTCTGCTCTTTTCTTCCAACAGAAACGCACAGAAGATACACTTTTATTAGTGTAATAATGAACTCTCTTTTGTTCACACACACTTTTCAGATAAGACAATTATGTGAAATTTCTTAAACATTGCTGGAATAAAATTCAGAACTCTTGTTAGCTACCATAAAATTTTCAGTTCTTTAGCACAAATAACATTTCCTAGAAAATAAGCAGCAGAATTACCCTCAATTTCACCCTTTACTTGCTACCCCTGACTTTAACTTATTCCAAACAAACAGCATGGGAATACACAAAATGCAGCCACACAGCTATTGGGACTAACGTTCAAATCTTATATTATCTTTGAAATAGGCCTAAGTGCTTGTATTTTCATTCTGCATGACTCTGCAGAATAATTCAGGCTGAGAATCACAATGAAGGCAGGAACGGAATCTCGATTTGACCCAGCCTGTCTGGTTACATTTGTAATACACAAAGCAGTTACTCACCGCCGGGGTTTTAGACACCACGTAAAATACAACCCTATTCTGGGTTCTCCTCTAAGCTCTATGCACACTGAAACGTTCTCCAAAATATTGCTGCTGGGGCTTCCCCCCCCAACCCGTGCTAACAGGTAACAGGCTTAACTACAAGTTTGACTGTAAATGTCTTTCAAAAAAAGATATTATCACACAAGGACATTTCACAGCAAAATCTAAGCCAGCCACCTACCTACGTTTCAAGGTGCGAGAGCTCAATCTTACTAATACCAGCAGCTACCCCAGCTTTAACTCTTCTGCTACATATTACCCAAAACAAGCTCCACATTGAATTGTAGTAATTGTTGTACTATATCAGACCATCAATCTAACTGAGTACCCTGTACCACCACCCACTGCTTTATCACTTTAAAATTAGGAATTGCAATACAGTGCAATTACTTTTCTCTGAAACATTCTAATTCTCTTTTGCTTTTGGGGGGTAGAGGAGGGAGGCAGAGGGATGACAAGGAAGGAAGAATTTGAGAATGAACTATTTTCCCCAAAGCATGTTTATTTCTCATATACTTTCTAATTATGCTTGAGCTAAAAGTATAAGGATACTTAGCCACTATTTCCTATAGAAATGCAGTGATTTCAATGTGAGATAACTTCTTCCTCTAATTAAATAGACCTCTGTGAAAGCAGCCATCCCAAAACCATATTAGTTTTTTAACTATTTAATGCTTTTATAGGTGGGAGACCAGAGCAGACAAACTCAAACCTTAGTGCACACTGCTGCAAGCTCGCTGCTTACCACGTGAGAAGGGATGAAGAGAAGCAGCATTTTCACCCTTATGGACTAAGACAGTCAACTACATCTATTATTGCACCTATTTGCCCCATTTTAAACCCATTTGTAGCGTTTTGTCTGTTGTTGCTGTTGGGTTTGTTTGGGGTTTCTTTGGTGGTTTGTTTTTTTTTTTAATAAAAGGTACACCTTAGAAATTTGATGTTCCTCTTCAGCCTGTCTCTCATCGGTGTTTCTTAGTCTCAGATTAAAAGACACTTATAAAACAGCTGATTCAGCCAGTTCTCCTGATTATGTGTGGAACAAACTAATGTGTGGCACTTTGCACAACAAACTAGAGTTGTTCCTCCTCAAAACATAACAGTTTTAAAAGGGAGACTCTAATTTAATCACCTAAATTCACAAC